AAATTTAGTGGATGCCCATCTTACCACAGGGTAACTCTGGATGGCTTATAATTTAAAAAAAATAAAAACTATACAAAACCTAAAAGACATAAATACTGTCGAGATCCAAATACTGAGCTCCAATTAAAAGATGGGGAGGGAGTAGAATGAGGGGGCGGGATCTGTTGATAATGTATCAGCCCTCCCCATGTGAAACCTCTCTTTGGAGCCAAAAGCCAACTGGCAGAACCAGGTCTTTAGGGTCTTATGGACGCTCACTAGGGTTGGAGCCAACCTCACTCAGGGAGGGACAAGATGCTCCAGAGGACAGGTGCAACATCAGAGAAGGCCCTTTTCCTGGAACTCACCAGTTGGAATACCTTGGCTGATGGGATCCATAGCATGCTTCCTCTGCCAGCAAGAGTGGGGTGGGCCAATGCCAGTGGGATGAGACAGTGCCTCAAGTAGCCTGCACCCAACCATGTCCATTCTAAGTTTGGTTCTCCCCTCACTTCAAACTGAGGAAAGCAGTTATGAACACTTGAAATCAAAGCTATTCACAATTCAGGGAAGATATATGCAGTAAATGTATAAAAGGAGATTACAACAATTAAGCCCATTGTGGCTTAATTCAGAGAAGGAAGACAAAAATAAATTCAGAAGCTCAACTAACTATATAGAATTTAAGATGGAGTGCATTATAAACTCAAAAAAGTCTCTATTTTGCCACCACTCCTGTTAAAAAATTTCCTAAAACCTGATTAAGAGGCACAGCACTATGGTAATAACAGAAACCCGACAGAACAATATTTGTGTTTTTTGTGATTTATTTTAATTTCAAAATAACTGATATCTTAACTAGTCTCCCATGATTCCTCCAATTATCTTAGTATAAAAAGTAAAGTATTATAAATGCAAAATTAACATTTCTAGTGCACAAAAACTTACACAATTACTTGGAAATTTAACGTTTTAACTGTAGAAATCAATGTTCAGTTATTGGGATGTGATTGCTTTTCCTTAGAAAAGTTGCTTTGAATACCACTGGCTGTACTGAATTGAATTCTGTTTGCTTGGTTCTAAATCTCTCGTGAATGCTGTCAAGTTGTCATGGAGCTTTGCAGAATTCAATTGAAAAACTCTATTCTAGAGGCAACCTGCTGTCAGTATGGCAAATTGTACTAAACTACACAGAATCCTCCTTTTGACAAGGGAAAATATACATGAGATAGAAAAGTGATGCAGCCAATATGCAGTAAAAAATGTTTGGTGATGATATCTTGGGTGAATTATTTGTTCTTCATTGATCTGGCTGTAATAATTGGGGTTTCTCCCTCATTTCTCTGACCAATTTAAGCATATTTTTCTGCACTTAAAATTATTGCAACGAAACAAGTAACAGTGATTCCAATGCCTATAAGGCAGGCAGCGATGTTCAGGTATTTGGCTTTCTTCCCATAGCTAGCTGCGCGTTCAGGATCTCCAATAACTTTACGATCCCTTGCCTGAAAAGAATAAAATGAAAAGAAAATTAAATCTTAAGGCATATTTATACCAGTTATAAACCTCAATGTATCTACATACAAGTGCTGTGAAAATTAATACTATGTTGTTCAATCAAATAACAAAGTTCCTGTCGTTCATATCTTTGTTCATATTTTAGCCTTGGGGGGTGTTACACTTGGAAACAGATCTAAAAGCAGTATTTGTCCATTTTATTTTTGCTTCTTTTTTATTTCATTTCCATGCAAATATTATATTTTGATTGGTGTTAATATGTTTATAACTCTGAATTGTATGTATGCAAAGTGTGGAGAGTGTAGTATATTAATATCACCAGTAACAGTAAATAACACTCTTTTGAAGACAGGTGATAGCAACAGATTGGGATCAAGTTTTTCTCAGAGAATTTGAGAGGACCAGAAACGTTTTGGAAGACTGTTCTTCCAAAAGCACAATGCCTTTCCTTTAAACAGGACCTCATTCTAAGACCAAAATCTAGTGGGACAATCTCCCCACCCCCATACAAACTTCATTAGCAAACAAAGTCAAAGCTGGTTTCTTCACATATTCTTCCTTGTCATACAACAAAGCTAAAGCTAGGAAGACGGATTATTAAAGCAAACATCTCACAAACAAATGATGTCAAATTTGAAAAAGAAAACTCATCCCTTTCCAAGGGATGGTAGAGGGCAGGAAGGCCTGGAGGAATTTGTCCATGGGGTCATGATGGGTGGGATACCGTAACTAAAAACAACAATCCCTTTCTCTTTATACACCCACAAACATGTCCTATTCTATTAAAAAAATACCAACCCCGAGATCCCTATATTGTGCCAGGGTTGGGGAGAATTAAGTTTTCTTAAATGAGCCGGGAGGATGGCTGTATCTCCAGTGTTAAGCAAGGCTTGGCAGCTTTCCCACGGAAAGTCCCGTTTAGGTAATTCTGTAGAGAAAAATCCAGCCGGCGGCGCAGGGAAGAAGGAAACAAAGTCTGGAATTTCCACTTAATGGATGTGTTGCTAGGGGGCGTAAAAGACCCGCGGAGTACAGTGTGGGACGGAGCCAAAACCCAGAAAAGTAAGCGAAGCCTGAAATATTGAACGAAGCAAAGACAGGAAAACGTTCCCGAAAGAAAAGTTACGCTAGGGGGGAAAAACTCCGATGAAATCAAAACGGCAGAATTTCTACCGGGGGGGGGGGGGCCTCCGGCGCCTAAATTAAACTTCTGGATCCCTTCTGGGTTCGCTTACCTTGATGGAGAAGACGAGGGCGCTGAAGCTGAGGCAGCAGAAGCAGTAGCTGCTTAAGAATAAAAGGTTGAACAAGGACCAGAGGAAATAGTCACTGGGCTGCTCCCCCGCGAGGCAGGTTTGAGGCTGGCGGAGCCCTTCTCCTCGTTGTCGGCGCCGTCGTAGGAGCGGGGCTGCAGGTCGAGGCAAACGGCCTCGGACGACATAGCTGCCCGGGAGACCCAAACTCTGCGGAGCGTCTCACAACCAGAAAGGGCAGGGCTGCACCGCCAAACTCAAGGAAAGCAGAGGGCGAGGCTACTTGAGGGACGAGGGGCCTTGCGGGAAATCAGAAAAAAGAAACCGAGTCAGAGATCAGGAAAACGAAACCGAGGGACTCCAGCCCGGAGAACCTTCCTAGGTGGAGAATGACGCTGACTTTCAGCCAATAGGTTGGGAGCTGCGTGAGTTTCGAAACATGTGCTTAAGCCTTAAGAGCAGATGTTTCATACCCCGCGGCAGCCCAAAATGGTTATTTTGTGATACTTGCGTAACATTAGAGCTCCAGACTGCCTCAAACCATGCACTTCGGTAGGCGGACCAATATTGGGAAACCCCTTTCCGTCGGGACCAGATCGAGTAAAGATGCGAGTACTCCCAACATTTATAGCAGTCGTGGGGAAGGAAGGTTTTGGGTTCGCATCGAACGTTCGGGAAATGCCTAGTTTCACTGCTGGTTTGTCAGCCCCGGCCCTCCCCCAACAAGAGCAAAACAATTCTTTACGCAGAAAGAATGCGGGTGTGATGCTGTGTGTTATATAAAGAAATTTGAATTAATTAAAAAATGGAATATGAGTAAAACAAGCTCAAAGATATGTGAATTAAGAATAAAAAACCTCATTAAAACAATTTCATCGTTGAAACAGATTCATGAAGCATATTAATCACACAGCAGGAAAACTGCGAAAGTAAACAATGGGAAAAAGTAAAAGAAAAGTTAATGACTTACAATAGAGAAAACGAATGTGCATATTGATAATTGGGCATAAAATACTGCACCAAAATGTACCCTACTTTTAACAGTAATTTTGAAATGAACTAACAAAAAATAAGGAAGACAATGCATTTGCCTTGTTTAAAGAGTTTCATTGCTGAGTTTTTATAAGTATGAAATTGAAGGTAGGTACTTGGAGTAATTCAAACTGATGTTCATATTGGCCCTAGATTTTGCCTCATATCTCATTTGAAGATTTGAGCTTTACTTTAAAGGCTTTTATGTAATATTTATATTGATGTAACATAACCTCAATACTTTTGCCAAAAATCTCATAAGTTTAAATTCAGTTCATTCATATGAACTGAAAGGTCTAAAAATATCAGTATGCCCTCCCAATCACTGAGCTGAGGAAACTACTCCAAATTTGTATTCTCAACATACGGTAGCTCTGTGGCCAATCTCTGTGGCCTTTTCCATGGCTCAACCACCCCACATTGTTTTGTATCAGCAGTTGTAAGTTGATTCAATTTCCTGCAATAGATCAGAAAGTTATTCCTTATGGAGAGGTCAAGCAGCTATTAAATTCACTATTTTTATGACAAGTGTCATTATATTATATAGTTTTGTAAATCCCACCTCAGCACCTAAAACACCTCCTAGTGGATGATGGATGGAATGATCCAACAGAACCAAATGTCCAATAGCTTCAGTGGTGGGTTTCAAAAATTTTCACTATCAGTTCACTGGGCGTAGCTAGGTGGTGCATGTGACTGAGTGGGTGTGGCCAATTTGACCTCACTCATGCCCACACCCACTCAGTGACATGACCCCCACCAAGCCATGCCCACAGGAAGAATTTTTTTGAAATTTCTACCTCCCCCCCCCCNTATTATTATTATTATTATTATTATTATTATTATTATTATTATTATTATTATTATTATTTTAAAAAGACACCTGCTCTTTGGAACACAAAAGAAAAACTTGCATCCTCTTTCTCATAACAGACAATGCAAACCACTTCACGTCCATCAGTTCATGTACATCGGTGTTTATTGCAGACTTTGAGGAGTCATGAAAAAAAAGGCACCATGAAAATCAATACATCTCATCTAGGTTGGTCAAAGGATGGAATCCCCCCCCCCTTATTTTGCCTTGATGTGCCATGTGACAGAAAAGAACATTTTGCACAGAAAAAAAAGTATATTCCTGTACTTACTGGAATATTTTGGCTATATTTTAAAAAAGATTTAAATTGGAAATCAAGATGGGATTTTGTAGCTTTAAAAAAAAAACATTTATAAACACCTTCCCCCTTTTTTCCCTTTCCTTTCCATCAGGTGAAGTGAAATATATTTTTTTAAATTAAAAAAAATGCAATGCTATTAAGAAATAATACTGTGAACTACCACATGGATATCAAAATAAGATCTAAATGCCCCTACTTTTTAAAATTTGTGCTATTGTTTATCATATTAGTGTTTTCCTTGATTCGTACTTATCCCTCCTCCCCAAAAACAGACAGATAATTGAAATGCAGAATAAATTACATTGCTATGTACACTTCCATTAAGAAATCATGACATGATGCCGTTAGAAGAATTTAATCTGTGCTTATAAGATTAGCGTGGTCATTGATCATATAATTAAAAATACATCTGGGAATTGCTACATAAATGTGGAAATCTTAAGTGCTGGAGGATAAGAAAAGCCGCAGTCCGTAATTATGGCAAACCATATGGATGGCGTGAATTAAAAGGAATGTTGTGCCATCATAAAACCCTTTGAGGTCCTGTTGATTTCAGTGGCAGAACGTTTAAATATCGGTTTCACTTTTCGTTGTTGAAATCAATGGGGCCTAGACAAGAGAATCAACGCTGGCCGGATCGCGCCTTTTGGACTTTCTGCTTGGCTGCTTGATTTCAACACATTTCGTCAGATGGCTCAGTCTGAGGGCAACTCAAAAAAATTGCAATGTGACTTTGCTAGGCTGTGGAAAAAAGATGAGCAAAGCATGAATTTCTCCCAGGGGGCCTGGTTTAAGGAACCCCTCCAGGGAATATTATTCTCTCTCTATATATATTTTTTTCCGTCAAGGGAGAGGCAAAACAGCAATTGTATCCTCCCTCTTGGCTCCCAACTGCATGCTCCCTTAATGGCATGATACCCTAGTTACATAAATAGAGACAATCCCCCGACATTTCCCCCTCATGGCTTCCTAAAACAAAGCATGATGGAACAATGCCAAGAAAAAACTGGTTTCCCCCCCTTGACAATAACCACAAAACATTTGTAGACGAGTCTTATTAGTGACTGCTACTCTCATCGAAAGATTCGACCCCTGAATCAGTGGCAGCTGCGTTGAGTTTCTCCTTCCGCCTTTTCATGATCTCTTGAAGTTCGGACCTTTCACTGGAATTCTGTAGAAAGAGACAAAATGTTTTTTTTTTTTTTTTT